GATGCAAGTGGCTGTGCTTTGTTTGGCTGCCAGCTGAGTTAAACTACCACACCATCCTCTCTGCAATGCCATCCTAAATTAGCTAAGAGAGATCAAGCTGCCTTCCCTCTACCTAACAGAGATACACTAGTCAAAGAGAACTGGACATCTACCTTCCCCACCCCAATCAACAGCTTCTTCAACAGGCTCTTGCAGCAATAGTCTCCCATGGATTTAAAAAGCAGCTATCAATATTCACAGAAAATAAATCCATCAAGGATTGCTCAATATAAATATATAATTAAATATAAGTTTTTAACTTAGAAGTGTATGAAGGCTGCAGAAGTATCATCATCACCTACTTATTCTGGTTTTGAAGCCTTGTTCAGGTGCACACTGTCAGAGACAGAACAGAGGGACCTGGGGCAGCCACTCACACCTGAGGTACAGAATCAGCTCATACCAAGTCACTAGCAGCATCAAAATATTCCACCTGCTCCTTTCCTAGTAATTTTCAAAATTTAGGTATTTTCTGGGGAGGGCTGATGGTTTATACTTGCTCACATAGAAGGGAAGCAAATTTTCAACACACAGCTTCGGGGATTCCCAAGATAACAGGAGAGAAATACAAGAGGAAAACAACCTTCACAGTCCCAGGGAAGATTTATATTTCTTATTCATATTTCTGAGGTACCTACCTCCTCTGCTAAACAATCATCCGGATCATAGTCCCCCATGCTAATGACTTCCACAGGTAAATTAAGGGAAATAATTGCTTCAGCCAGACCTTTGGCAAATCTCTAAAAAGAAATATATAAAATCAATTCCTTCAACTCAATTATCGTGACAGTCAAACAAGCCCCACTATGCCCAAGTCACAAGACTCTTCCCAGCACAGAAAGAACAGGGACACCAAGAACTGGACATTGGACCTGTAATTCCTCACATCCAAAAAATGAAGTATCCTGGCTGAAAGAAGAGAGTTACACGGATTTTAATTTTATATTTACACACACAAATTAAATTTTTGAGAAAGCACCTAAAACTTCTTTCTAAGAAGACCTGCTAGTAAATTAAGAGTATGTTGGAAGAGTAAACTTTAAGCTTCATAATCAATGTCTCTACTGCCTGCCCCGCTGAAAGGGAATAGCAAGAAATGTTATTTTTATATCATTTTCATTTATCTTTCATGCCATTAGAAGTCATGAGCTACCTCCTAATGAGCTAACAAACTTTCTGATGAACTTTCAGATGTTTACACAGTGCAGCATTGCTAAAGGCAAGTAACATACTTGAACCTCAACAATATTTCAAATCAACTTCATGTATGTGATAAAAAAGCCCAAAAAATAACTTATACCTTTGCTGTGCCAGTCTGAGACCCGTAGAAGATCTTTACCCCAGCCACATGGACTTCCTTTGCCTGCAGGGTGGCATATCCATTTCCTAGTTTGTCTTCTGTTCCTTCAGAAGCAAATTCCTGCTGGATTTTTGGCCCTAAGACACAAGCGCTGTCTCAGTCAGTCCCTTTTCAAAGGGATATTAACCCAATTTACCCAAAAACATTTAAAACACAAACGCTGTGACCAGACTCTCAGCAAATACCTCAAAGCATTTTAGCTTCTCACTCCTGAAGAAACACACATTTCCCAGAACTAGGCCATGTTACAATAGAATCACAGAACCACAGACTGGTGGGGCTGGAAGGGACCTCAGGAGATCATCCAGTCCAAACCCCCTGCCCAAGCAGGGTACCTAAACCAGGGTTCACA